ACCTTGGATTCCTCGGGAGACCTCTATTAGCTAAAGAGTGAAAGTGGCTTAGCCAATGTCGCAAAAGTTACATGTACAGATGTCTGTCCAATGCAATCCATTCTCACTTACCATGCTGCTATACATAGCCTATATTTTTACAGTATATGCCGTCTGCTTCTTCACATGTTATACTTGGAGGTCTTTCTGTATTCCAAATCCAAAAATTCATACCTAAAATATGGAAACAAACTACCAAACTGATCCGAGAAAAATTCCCAGTTGAGGATGAATCTATGATAGATAACCTTATTAAGTGTCTTAAAGAATTTGTTAGCCAAAATCGCTTGTCAAAAGCATTTGAGACATTTTCTCACATTCAGCTCCATGGCTCATCTAGCACTTCTCATGACCTTTTATTGGATCCCATATCTTCTCTTCTATTATCATGTATCAATATCAAGGCACTACAACCAGGTAAACAACTTCACACTAAGACTATTTCTTTGGGGTTGGAACAACACCCAGTTTTGGTTCCCAAGCTTATTACCTTTTATTCAACATTTAATCTCCTGGATGAGGTTCGAACAGTTACCGAGAATACAAATAGTTTGCACCCACTTCCCTGGAATATGCTCATCTCTTTGTACGTTAGAAATGGGCTTTTCACCGAGGCTCTTGCCACATATAAGCAAATGGCGACTAAGGGGATCAGACCTGACAGTTTCACTTACCCATCTGTTCTCAAGGCTTGTGGTGAAAGTTTAGATTTGGCTTTTGGGACGGCACTGCACGAGTCCATAAAAACAAATCATCATGAATGGAACTTGTATGTCCATAATGCATTGATCTCCATGTATGGGAAATTTGGTAAGATGGATGTTGCTCGTCAATTGTTTGATAAAATGCCAGAAAGGGATGCTGTTTCTTGGAATACAATGATTAGCTGTTATGCCTCCAAGGGCATGTGGGGGGAAGCATTTCATTTATTTGAAAAAATGAAGACTGCGGGTACTGAAGTGAGTTTTATAACATGGAATACTATAGCTGGAGGTTGCCTGAATACAGGCAATTATAGAGGTGCACTGGAGTTGCTTTCTCAGATGGCAACTTGTGACACACACTTAGATTCAGTGGCAATGATTATTGGCTTGGGTGCATGTGCTCATATTGGGGCCATTAAATTGGGGAAAGAAATTCATGCTTTTGCAATTCGCAGTTATCATGAGAGGTCTAATAATGTTAGAAATGCACTGATCACTATGTACTCCAGGTGCAACGACCACAAGAGTGCCCATATTGTGTTTAAGTTGACAGAAGCGATGACTATAATTACTTGGAATTCAATGCTTTCGGGTTATACCCGCATGGATCTATTAGCAGAAGCATCTTTTCTTTTTAGAGAGATGTTACTATCAGGGATCAAACCAAATTATGTGACAATTGCCAGCATTCTGCCTCTTTGTGCTAGAGTCGCAAACCTACAGCATGGTAAAGAGTTCCACTGCTATATTCTGAGGCATCAAGAGTTTCAGGACTATTTATTACTGTGGAATGCTCTCATTGACATGTATGCACGATCAGGAAAAGTTATAACAGCCAAGAGAGTTTTTGATTTAATGACCAAGAGGGATGAAGTGACTTATACCTCCTTGATAGCAGGATATGGGATCCAGGGGGAAGGGCGAATTGCACTTGACCTGTTTGACGAGATGATCAAGCTCCAGATCAAGCCAGACCATGTAACGATGGTTGCAGTTTTATCAGCCTGTAGCCATTCGGGTCTAGTGGATGAAGGCAAAATGCTATTTGAGAAGATGCAATGCATCTACGGAATCATTCCCCAGTTGGAACACTTCGCTTGCATGGCTGATCTCTATGGAAGAGCTGGTTTGTTGAGTAGAGCAAAGGAGGTCATCAGAAAGATGCCTTACAAGCCAACCCCTGCCATGTGGGCCACTCTGTTAGGAGCCTGTTGTATCCACAGGAACACAGACATAGGCGAATGGGCAGCTGAGATCTATTGCTACAAAGCCCGAACATTCAGTACTATGTGTGATTGCTACATGTATGCCGCTGCTGG